AGTACCTCGAAGGTACTCATTACACCCAGGACGGGAAGGACTGTCACTTCTTTGTGAAGGTCGGTTCTGCCGACAGTGACCTCTTAGCGCTGGGTCTCACAAACGGGCGCAAGTCGTTGGAGAGTGGCATCAATGTAACGGTAAGTGGCCGCTCCAGACGGGGCGTGACTGTAGAGTTCGCAGTTCCGTCCTTGGTGCTCAGTGTTCGGTACGGCCTAGCTGCGGACGTGGTGGATGAAGAGAAAGTAAGACTTTTGGAGCTGGCCAGGCAGAGAGCTTTGGCCGGGGCCTGGGCCAAAGAACAGCAGAGGGCCAGGGATGGGAAAGGAGGCAGCCGCCTCTGGACGGAGGGGGAGCGTCAGCAGCTCCTCACCACCGGCAGAGTACAGGGCTACGATGGCTACTACGTACTGCCCGTTGAGCAGTACCCAGAACTGGCCGACAGCAGCAACAACATCCAGTTCCTCAGACAGAATGAGATGGGCAAGAGGTAACAGCCCTCCTCACTCCAACAGCAGACTGTTTCCTTTTTTTCACCTTCGACTCTCTGAACCCTGCCCCTCCTATCGACCCAGCCTCCTCAACCCTTCTCTCAAAGTCCACTGAGAATTAACAAACAAAATGGGGTTACTCACAGAACGCTGCAGGGACTTTTGAAAGAATAACTTAAGAGAAAACATTGTTATTAATTTTACTGCCACAGGCAAAAAAAAATGAATACATTTAGGCAAACAGTTCTTTTTGGTTTTTTGAAACCTGAAAAAGCACTGAAGAACTTCGAGAACTGTTGCTTAATAAATAAGAAGATTCCCCTTTTTAAAAAAGATAGTGATATTTTCACCCATATTTTCTGGGTCACAGAGAGCCACCAACACGGCTCCAGAACACGGAGGAGTTGTACTGTGTTGGCATCTGCAGCGAAGGCTTATTTTAATAGACTCTGAAGGCAAAAGGGACCAAAGTGGAGACAAAGCCACTCCAGAGGACGGCAATTACAACGACACACCAGGAGAGGACGCTGAAAAACAGCAGCAGGCAAGGAAAGGGGGAAAGGATGTCGGGTAATTTGAGTCATCTCCCTGTCTCAGGCCTCTCATCATCCACCAAGGACCCATCCTGTGCTGCTGAGGATGGGGCACATCCAAACACCTGACGGCATCGCTGGACACACCCAAGCTGTTAAAAGACCAGAAGAAAAACTTTTTTTTTTTTAAAGCAACTGATGGCTATGTTTGTGGACCGTGGTGTCATACAGCATTGTTTATTTTTAACTGGGGAGGAGAATCACACGACTCCATACGTGTCTGACTACACTAAATTTCAGGATGTTGCGTAAACTGTAGATGCCGTAGTTTTGTACGTTTCAGTCGCGTTAGAATTGTGAGACTTTCACCAAGGCACTTCTGTACAGAACGAACAAACACACCACACACGTGCAGTCGGGGAAAACATGCTAAGTTAGTATTTATTTTATTTGACTTGTTTTTAAATTTATTTATTCTTAGTAATATATGACAATCATGAAGGAGTCACCAGTTCTATTTGAAATGAACATCGATGGATGAGTTTATTTTTCCTTTGTAACATTAATGTAACAATTGTCATTTTGTTTTTGTAATAGTTTCTGTTTGCTGCCGGGGCAAAAAATAGTCACTCTCGAAAAAAAATAATTTATGTAATAAAGTGTTTAAAAAAATGGTTTATACTTTAAATAAAGTCTTTAAAACTGTGAATCTGTTTTTTCGGAAATATATTTCAATGTACAGTGTATAGACCTACCTTTATGCAGCACAGTAGAATATTGTTCAGAATATCAAGTTTTATATTTCTAAGAGGAAGTGGCTTGTAATGTGCAAAATCTTTAGCTGGTCTTACTACTCTAGAGTTTTGTGACACTCCAATATTCCATATCTACAATATCAATGCCCAGTTTGTTGTTTTGACTGTTTGTTTTGTTTGGAAGCAGATATGTTTCTGTCCTAGAGCCCAACAGCAGTAGCAGTAATGGATGCCTCTCACTGTGAAGAGACTCGTGCTGGATGTCATAATGTACCAAATCAGTATTATCAACCATGATTCTTATACATTCACTTGAAACGAAACTCTTCTGAGAACCTTAACAATAAAACATAATTGTTTACTTCATCCGAGCACCCTGGTGTGTACTCTCATTTCACTGTCGTGCTTGAAAAGAAGCGATAGTTTCTAGCAACAAAGGTTTACCCACACTTTCAATTATACTTCATCAAATTGCTGCGTTTCAAAGTCAAACACATCGCAACATACGCGGTGTAACAAAAGCAAGGACAGGAGGAACGTGGTGTTGTTGGCATTTACTGCTAGATATACAACAGAACACAATACTGTATTGTACAGCAATATTGTATCGCGCATACTGAAAGTGACGTGATTAGAGCCTTGACAGACTTCGTCGTTCAATCCTGTTAGCACCGTTGAGTTCAGATAAAGGTCTACTACCTTTAACAACAAATGTCAAGTATTGTCAAGTATTCACGTGTTTATTTTTGGGAGATTGTTGCATTTTAACAATTCGTTTGTATGCAAAAACCAACAAACACAACGTAATTTTAATATTAAAAATTAAAAAAAAAAATTAAAAATAATATAAAAAACGGTTAACATGAGGCTCAGAAGCGAATCAAACATACATAAATTGAATATATATATATTTATATATATATATATATATGTTTGTTTATTTAAATTACCTGAATTGGTTGCTTTGCGACTAAGCGAACCGTTTTACGGCTGTTTTGCGACACTTCCTCTTAGCGTACCTACACAGGTGTAGTTAACGAGATTTCAGCAATCGCTGTCAAAACAGTGAGTACTTCCTGCT